TTTTTTTTTTTTTTTTTCTCTCTTTTTATTCCTCCATGAAGAAGCTTTGCCGCAAAAACACCGTTCACCCATCGCCGCCGATCATTTCCGACTTCCTTTCGTTTTTGCCTGCCGTCATATTCACCCTCACTGTGGCTCTTTCCGCCGACGACAAGGAAGTCCTGGCTTATCTCATCTCCTGTTCCAACACCAGCGCCTCTCTCTCCAACTTATCTGACACTCGCAAGTCCGGTCGGAAACCCACCGCCGGAAAGGTCGGTGTCGATCACGCTCCGCTTTTCGACTGCGATTGTTTCATGTGCTATCGCCGATACTGGGCGAGATGGGACTCGTCGCCGAATCGGCAACTTATTCATGAAATAATCGAAGCTTACGAAGATGGATTGGCCAAACCCAAAGGCACAGCAAGCAAACAGAGGAATTTCAAGAAAGAAAGACGGAAGAAAAATAAGGAATCGGTTGCTGCTGAATCGAGCGTGGGGAAGGGGAAGATGAAGGAGGCATCGGAGTCTGTGCAGCAGGAGAGCAGCCGCGATGGGAATGGACAAAAAGCAGAAGGAGAAGAAAGAGGATCGGTAAGTAGGTTCGTGAGTTTTGTGGGCGAGAAAATTTGGAGTGCTTGGGGGTAATGAATTTGGAGTGATCGGTAATTAGTGGATTTTTGTTTGCTCTGCTCTCTGTAAATTACTTGCCTCATGTAAAAATGAATGATGATTATGCTATAATATGTGGATGCTCTGTTCTGTGTGAAATTTGAGAATATGGATGAGAGTAGTGGGGATGATGATGGGGCACCATTTTTGGCGTTGGAGTTGCAGAGATTCTGATGTTTTTCATTTAAAACTGGAAAACGATGCAAGGTATGACCCACCTCTGTCTCTGTCTCTATCTCTGTACATATATAGAAAGAATATGGAATGCAAGTGATTGGCAAATCGTGCATGCATGCCCTTTGCAACTCATAAATTGATATCCATTTGGTAGTGTTTTGGGGGTTTTTTGGATTGTTGGATTTGGAAAGGTTCTTAGTGGCTGTCCACCACCAAACAACCAAGTAATGGGGAATGATGTAGACCCAAATATTGAATAAATATTCAAATATATTTCTACATATGCTTTGCTTTGGGTTGTTACGGACCCTCCCGGTTTTTAAATGCATATGTTATCTTCTTTGGATGTCATAGTTCGACACACTGCCCTGCATCTATGAGGGAGAGGTTTTCATACACTCCTCATCGTTTCTAACATATGTGTGATCTCATAATCCAACCCCTTGGTGTCCAGTGTTCTTGTTGACACAGTGCCTAATATCTGACTCTTATACCATTTGTAACCTCCTTTGGGGTCCAATGTTCTTGGTGACACATCGCCCACCATCTCGTAGGAAGAGGTTTTCACACTCTTATCATTCCCCTCTATAACATATGTGAGATCTCACAATCCACTTCCCTTAGGAGCCCAACGTCCTATGGTGTGTACTTATGATATCATTTGTAACGGCCTAAGCTAATCGCTAACAGATATTATCCGTTTTGGCTCGTTATATATCGTCATTAATCTAACAATTTTAAAACACGTCTATTAGGGAGAAGTTTTCATACTTTTATAAATAATGTTTCGTTTCCATCTCTAGCCAAGGTAGGATATCACATTTGATGTGAGTTAACTTCGAGAATGTTAATTGGAATTGAAAATTCATCATAAATTTAAATTGGAAAATTTCTTCTACGTAAAAAGTTGGTGATGCTTTTCTTTTGAAATCGAAGGTATTTTTTTTAACTCTCTTTTGAAAGAAGAAAATGGTGAGAAGAAAATGGTATTGAAAAGGAGAGATGAGAAGAAAGTAGATATGATCCTTCTCATGTTATTAAATATTTCCTCTTTCTTACAATTTGAAATTCAAAAGTTTGAGATAAAAAGATTTGTGATTAATAACACAAATGGTTATTTTTAATGCATTAAAAAAGTGTATAAAGAAGAGGATGATGGGCATAGTAAAATTGGTATTGAGTGCCTAAAAGGGGCCCTTAAGGCATGCTTATTTGTAGTTTTAACACTTTAACCATCGCTATTATGAGTTTTAATTAGTGTCATAAAGTGTCCGTGATACACCTTTTTCTCCAAAGGCATAGCACACCCATGTGTCCAAATTTTGCAATTATGGTGGATGATTAGTGTACCCTTCACTTGAGTTCCATAAAGTTTTAAACTTTATGTCACTCTCACGATTACTTAACACATATGACAATGAAAGAAGCGGGAGTCGAATCAATCTCTCCACCCATGTTAAATATAAGTGATGGTCGATTAGATCAACTAGACATGGTTTAACGACACGTGTAACAACTCAAGCTCATCGTTAGCAGATAATATTCTCTTGGACTTTCCCTCAAGCTTTTAAAACATGTCTATTAGGGAGAGGTTTCCACACCCTTATAAAAAATGTTCCGTTCCGTTCTCCATTCCAACCGATGTGGGGTCTCACAATCCACTCCCCTTCGAGGCCCAACGTCCTCGCTCACACTCGTTCCCCTCTACAATGAGAGATAGGCGAAAAGAAAAGGTTTAAAGAGGACAATATCTATTAACCGTGGGTTTGGGCGGCTTCAAATGATTGTTGGATATTAAACCAAATACGCCTACCAAGGGAAAGGAATAAAGAAAAGAAAGCTTAAAAAACTGAAAATACAACAATATTGTATCTTAATTAAAAAGATTATATGCCCTTTTAACAACAAAAACTTAATTTTGCCTTTATTCTTTCTCCTTTTTTTCTGTTTAATAAATTCTCTATATTCTACAAACTTTATTCCCTTTTTCTCTTAATTTCCCATTCTTTGACTCCTTTAATATGAATTAATAAACATTTATGTCTAAATTCGTATTTATCTTAAAATATGGTTAGAATAAAGAACTCTAATTTTTTTAAGCCTACATTCACATCAATTAATTTCTCAAAATATACTACAAATAAAAATAATAATATAAGAATTTGTAGCCGTTAATTTTTTTTTTTTTTTTTTTAATTTAACAATTACGAAATAAGAAAATAGTAAATCTATTTAATATATGAAAATGTATATTTAAAATGTTAATTCATATCCAATCAAATTAGGAAGGCTATGGCGGGTCAGGCATGTACAGGTATTGAAGAGGCGGTTGAGGTACAAGCTTTGAAGCGTTCAATAATGGCGTTTCGGTTTACCAATCTTCTATGATGTGCAAGCGGAAGACCCTCTTTCACACACTCGTCGTATTTCTCCAAAGCCACCACAATGTCACTGAAATCCGGCCGCTTCGACGGATTCGCCGCCCAACATCGTTTTATCAGGTGAGCTAGCGCCGGCTGACAACTCGCCGGTAACGGCGGCCTCTCATTCTGCCAAATTCAAGTATGACATTGAGAGAAATTTAAACAGCGATAAAATTGAGAGAAATTTGGTACCTTCTCGGCGACGGCAAAGGCAGCCTGCACAGGGGTCATCCCTTGAAACGGAAGCAGAGCCGTGGTGAGCTCCCACAGCACAATCCCAAAGCTGTAAACATCAACTTTGCGAGTATAAGGCTTCTCCTTGATCATCTCCGGCGCCATCCATCGGTAAGTTCCCATGTTTCCTTTCGATTCACGGCACTGTGTTTCGAGGCAGGAGGTTCCGAAATCGGCTACTTTTACTCTCATTTCATCGTTTAAAAGCAAGTTGTTTGATTTTAAGTCTCTGTGGATTACTCCTTGGGAATGAAGGTATTCCATTCCTCTTGATATGTCAAGAGCTAACCTTAGAATTGTTTCTGTTGAGAGTGAATATGGCTCTTTCTTGTTTAGATACATTCTCAGAGTTCCTTGTGACATATACTCTGTAATTATGCAGTATACCGGCGGCTTTTTACTGGCTGCAATGAACTGAAGAGGAACCCGCCATGAATTTAACTTTGATGAAAAGAATTAACCATGGAAGGTTGAAAATTTACCTGAACTATGTTGGGATGAAAGAGACGAGAAAGCAAGGCGACTTCAGACTTGAACTGTTGCTCGAGTTTGGCTCTGGTTTCCTCGTTTTGGTTTGGGATTCTAACCATCTTAACAGCGACGGCTCTCTGCTTGTAAATTCCACGGTATATTCGACTGTGAGCACCGGAGGCGAATTTGTTACCGATGAAGAGTTGAGATAGATCAGCGGTCCACTCCTCCTGATCCTCTTTCGATGTCTCCCAAGTTTCCACATTGTCGGACTCTAAGATCATCGACCACGATTCCAAGCTATCAAATCTTCTTCTTTCCATATTTTCCATTTCGGAATTCTTCTGGGATTTCAATGAGGCAGGTGTTGATAAGGGTTTGCTCTTTGATTTTCGAATCCAAAGTGAACCAAAACATGAGGTCGCCATGAAGATTATTTACGCGAAACAGAGGCTTGTAGGCTTGTTTATGTCGTCAAAACAAACAATCGTAAGGAATCTTCCTCCTGAACGTATGAATTGATTTTAAGAAGTGCATGAACTGATTCAAAGACATGGGTTCTAAAGAAGAATGAAAATTGGATATGGGTTTTCATGAATTTATGGAATCAGTGGAAGAAAACACAGAGAGAATGGTTAGGCAAATGTTGATGAAAAGAAAGAAGTTGCGATTTCATGGCTTCTGGAAACTGAACCGAAGGTGAAGGAAGAGGGAAAAGGGGAAAGATTAGGTCGTTTGGCAGTGGAAAGACAAGAGATAGGTCAGGGGCGTCTCGTGATTCGGCGTCTCGTTGTTAAAAAGTTTACTTTATTTGTTCTTTTCTCAACTGAATCCAGCTGCTGTGCTTTCTGTTTCGTTTCCCATCATCAATGCGAAGTGGGGCGAAGTGGCAAAGCCTCCATGGATTAGCTTCAAAAAGATGAGCATATATGCGGAGGCCAATCTTTTTTCATTTTGTCTACTAGTGGCAGGCACACGTGGGGCCAGGCTAAACCCAGAGTCAATGGTGGTGTGTAGCTTAATGCAATGGACATTAGATCCTGTGGTTCTTAGCCACGGCCGTGATTCGGTTTGTTTTCAATATTCAGATTTTATCCACTTCCCCTAATCTTGTGAATGGATTCTACTAATATTGTCGTTTATACGTGGTGTCATAATTGTACTCGTTCAATTATGTAGTGTCATGGATGATATGTAATTATAGCTTGACGGGTGACACTCGTGTGCTACCAATGTTCTTGCCGTAGCATAAGAGTCACTTCCTACTCTTTTTTCGGTACAAAGTGAAGTAATTGTCATCCCATAGAATGCCATTGTTTTTTATATTTCGAACCATTTTCTTGAACTTGGCCCAACCAGTTACCCACTTCTTAAAAGGGCCAAATTTAGGACTTTGTAACAGGCCAGATTCAAAGCTCTACATTCGGTAAGCTGAGAAGGTTGGATGAAAATCTTACATGGGCTAATTTGGGGAATGAACATTTTATAATTAATGAACACTATCTCTATTAGTGTGAGACATTTTAGAGAAGTCCAAAGCAAAAGTACGAGAACTTAGACTCAAAGTCGACAATATCGTATCGTGATAATTCTTAATTTATTGGCATAAGAGTTTATTATAACCTATGTCCGTTGTCCGTACAAAAGAAAAAAAACAACTGATTTTGGGACATAGGAGAGGAAGATTAAAATATTATATCAAATCGATATGCAAATGAATAGGGTTCGGTTTAGACGTTCCAATCAGTGAATAAATTGGCGTGGCATGCACCTAACTACATAGATCAAAGATGGCGAAATCCTGGCCGTCGGATCGAACAAGGAAGCGTCCACATCCGCAACTAGCAAAATCAAGGGTCCACACCTTTTTATATATATATATGTGTATATTAAAATTGGAAAAGTGGGACGATCTGAACCGTTGAACCAAATTCAGAGGATGTGATGAAATCAATCGTGGAAGATCTCTACTAGGCCCAGTTTGGAATTAACACAACGAGACGGATTTTAAAATCGGGGGCCCAATGAAAATAAAGCTTTAAGATTCCATTTTAATTTTACATAAAAAAGGAAAATTGAATGCAAAATTTTAACATGTAAAACAATAATTCTATAATATAAAGTTGGGGTTACAATTGAAGATAGGTATTGAATGTGATGTCACGTTGAAGTTGCAATCGAAAATAGGTTAAAAAAAATAATGAAAATAAAACATTCATTGTCTCTTAAAGCTCAATGTTCAAAGTGGAATATAATGATTATAATTGACAAAAAAACATAGTACATTTTTAATGTTTTGATTAAATTTGTAGTTTGTATTTATTAATTAATATCCGATCTTATTTGAATTCTACCCAGAAATGATTAATGATTATTGTCTTTTATTTTCGGACATATAATCGAAAAAGAGGAGAGGATAGAATGGTAAAAAGAGAAAGCGGAGGCTGAACAGTCGACCGTCAGAATCTAAGCAGCTCGACGCCTTCAATTCTTCATCATTCACCAACTTCTCATCTCCACAGTCGCCAATTTCCGAATCTTCAGGACCCAAATGGCATTTATTTAACACAGCAGACCCATTTTCGTCATTTTACCATCCCCTCTTCTCGTCCGCTCCAACTCCATCACTGTGTTCTTCTTCACCTCTTCCATCTTCCTCACCAACATTCACTCTCTTCCTCCACTTCCACTTCCACTTCACTCTCTCCTTCCCCATTTTCCCAACCATTAATGGGCTCTAGAATTCCATCTCACCAGCTCAGTGGCGGTCTCTATGTCTCCGGCCGCCCTGAGCAGCTCAAGGAGCGGCCCCCTACAATGGGCTCACGCGCCGTCCCTTACACCGGTGGAGACGTCAAGAAATCAGGGGAGCTTGGTAAAATGTTTGACCTCCATCTCGTCGACTCTCCAACTTCCGGCCTTCCTCCTTCTAAATCCGCTCGTCCTTCGTCCTCTTCTCAGCACAACAGCGGATCGGTACGATCCGGCCCTAATTCCGGACCCGTCACTAAGCACTCTAATTCCGGTCCGATCTCCAAGAAATCATCCGGCCCGATTTCCCTCCCGCCAACCGGCCTCATAACCTCCGGCCCTTTGGGATCCGGTCCTCTTGGATCGTCCAGTAGCGGCGGAGGACGGCGCTCCGGCCCTCTGGAGCAGACGACGTCTTTTGGTAAGACGATGTACGGGGCGGCGGTCACGAGCTTAAGCGAGGATGTGAAAATAGGGTTCAAGGTTTCGAAGGTGGTGGTGTGGGCTTTTCTTGTGGTTTTAGTCACCGGTTTGTTGGTTGGCGCGTTTCTGATGGTGGCGGTGAAGAAGCCTATTATTTTGTTGGCGGCGGGGGGGCTTTTGGTTCCGGCAGTGATTGCGGTTCTTTGGAACATCGCTTGGGGAAAAAGGGGGTTGATAGGGTTTGTGAGAAGGTACCCGGACGCTGAGCTCAGAGGTGCTATTGATGGACAGTACGTGAAGGTCACAGGGGTAATTTTGCTCTCTCTCTCTCTCTCTCTCTCTCTCTCTGTCTCGCTCGCTTTCAGATTATTTTAATGGCATTTTGTTTTGGTATGTCAAGCTAATGGAGTTTTTAATTAAAAGTAATGAGCCATCAATTGATTTAACTATCCTACGTCTTATGCCTAATCATGGAGCATTTGTTTCCTAATCAATTTGTATTGCGCCATAGGATTGAATTAGTCAATACGATGCTGACTGTTTGGCAATATTATAGATTTAATCAAACAAAATTAGTATAAATCTTTGACGAGGAATCCAAATTTGGCCTCTTTATTAGATCTCCTGGAAATCTGTATATGTTTTTTTTAAACTCCATCATTGTTCTTCTCAGTTTTTAATCTGTAATCCGTTGGCCATCCAGTCGAGATAAACTTTGTTCTTCAAGGTTTGAAGAACCGGGTAGCTAGCTTTGGGGATGCTTATTTCAATGCTCTTGATAAGTTTTGTAGAATTTGCTGGAAGTACTGAAAATCTTGAAATTTGTCTGGCAAACTAGCTATACACTCTGCTACCCAATAGGCAAAATATTTGTACAAGTTCAAAGGATTGGTTTAAAATAGTGTTCTTAGTCCATATCTGGTTGTTTGTCACCATCTGGTGACTTTGACGGCAAATTATTGGGACTTATTGATGAAAATGGTAATGGAAAAGTCACTTCAAATCATTCACAGATGCTTTGAAATTCATTTACATGCTCTTATGAACCTGCAACTTCATCTTCTTTAGAACTTAACCGGGTTAGTGATCTTGTAGCCAAACCGATCAAAATCCCCGACTCCATGTCCATCAACCTTCTTCCAACTCCCTGAATTTTAATATGTTCCTAAAGAGTTTAAACTTTCAATTCTGTGCTTAGTTCTCTAGTTTTCTAAAAATGTCTAATAAGTCTGAGTTCAAGTTTGTGAACTTATAGAACAAAGCCTGTTCAAATTAGGTAGAATATAGAGAGTTCTTTATGCAAATTTCATAATAGGTAGGTGGTTTCCTGGCTTCTCTCCCGTTGTCGTGTTGCCTACCAATTGGAAAGACAGCTACACAATTCTGGGCTGCCATGTCGATCAAATTTACTTTTTTTAGTCAAATTTCTACATAATGGTTTGGAGGTAATGACCTGAAAAGGCTAAAATCTTCTTAGATATTTATAAACAATTTGTCGTGTTTGACTTAAAATGGAAGGAAAATCATTTGATGATTGTGGTTTTTTTGTCACAATTTTTCTCAATTGGTGTTCTCTTCTCACCCAATTTGGGAATTTGGATGTGTCTTTCATCTCACTCGGTCACTTTTGTATACCATTCCTTTTCTTCAGATATTGAGTATTATATGCATTCCTTCTCTTTTAGGTCGTCACGTGCGGCAGTATTCCTCTCGAGTCGTCCTACCAGAGAGTACCGAGGTGCGTTTACGTGTCTACAGAACTGTATGAATATAAAGGATGGGGTGGAAAGCCTGCAAATCCTAAACACCGCTGCTTTTCTTGGGGATCTAGATATTCTGAGGTCAGTTCTCTTCCTACCATTTTGTTCTAAATACTTGGAGTGGGGACGAAGCATTCTTTATAAGATTGTGGAAACCTCTCCCTAGTAGACGCATATTAAAACCTTGAGAGGAAGCTCGGAAAGAAAAACTCAAAGAGGATTGCATCTGCTAGCAGTGGCCTTGGGCTGCTACACATAACTTGATGGCTATTAGTTTCCCACCACCCTTAAGCATCATGTAATTAGTGTAAGGCACATTGATTCATCTTTTGTTTAAGTGCAAATGCTTCTGAACAGACGAATAATGCCTAAAGTTTTGATATGACTGAATTGCATACATAGATTCATGCGGCATGCATACACCATATTCTTGTCTGCATCTTCAGAGTATATGATGAGTTGTAATGGGTTGCCTTTTTTGCACATTCCATACAGAGATATGTAGCTGACTTTTACATATCAGACTTTCAAACTGGTTTAAGAGCACTGGTGAAAGCAGGCTATGGGGCCAAGGTTGCTCCATTTGTCAAACCCTCCACCGTTGTCGATGTCACGAATGAAAACCGAGACTTGTCTCCAAGCTTCCTAGGCTGGCTAGCTGATCGCAAACTCTCAAGCGACGACCGTGTAATGCGCCTTAAAGAAGGGTACTAAACCATCACTTGTTTTTCCAAATCCCCATCCATTTTCTGTGCGAATCGATTCACTACACAACATGATCAAGCATGCTGCCCCTCACCAAACCTAATTACTTATTCATCATTCTCAGGTACATCAAGGAAGGCAGCACAGTGAGTGTGATGGGGGTCGTTCAGCGCCAAGATAACGTGCTCATGGTAGTTCCATCAACAGAGCCTGTGTCGACAGGATGTCAATGGGCTCGGTGCCTCCT